GCCGGTGAGCCCGGACCGGCGGCAGGGCCCGCCCCAGGGGCGCAGGCGTCCATCCGTGGGCCCCGCCCCGAGGCACCTCCTGGGCGCGTGTGGGTGACCCGCAGACTGCAGGCCAGCACCAGACCAGGGAGGGCCCCGGGCAGTGGACGCCCGTGCAGCCCGGTGCTGGGTGTGGTGGGAGGAGGGTCCACACGGCCTGGGCTGGGGCTGGGCTGGGGCAGGACTCGCCCTGTGGTTCAGGAAGCCAGTGGGGTGCAGGGCAGCCCCACAACCCTCCCACCCTGTCCGCAGGGCCCCCCAGGACCCGTGGGACCACCGGGACCGGATGTAAGTGATGTCTTGGGGGTGGGGCTGGGGGCACCGGCCGAGGGGGTCCCAGGCGCCTGTGGCTTTGAGGCGCCTCCCTGCGCTGGCCTCGGGGACAGGCGAGACTGGAGACTCGGCCCTGCGCCCCTGCCTCCCTCATCTCTCCCCAGGAATGTGAGATCCTGGACATCATCATGAAGATGTGCTGTGAGTGTCTCAGCCCCCACGGCCCGCGGCCCTGGGCCAGGGGCCAGGCCTCCGGCCTCATGCTCCTCTCCTCTCCTCTCCCCAGCGTGCTGTGGTGAGCGCCCCCTGCTCCCAGTGGTCGGCGCCTGTGCTGAGTGGACCAGCCAGTGGACAGACGGCGTGCACACGGCCTGGCCTGCCCCACCCTCTCCCCACTGCTGACCATGAGCCGCGGGTGGGCTGGGCGGGGCTGGGGGTACCGTGCGGTCCTCCAGCCCGCGGCTGACCCTCGGCCACCCTGCCCGCAGAGTGCAAGTGTGGCCCCATCGACATCCTCTTTGTGCTGGACAGCTCCGAGAGCATCGGGCTGCAGAACTTCGAGATCGCCAAAGACTTCGTCATCAAGGTCCTCGACCGCCTGAGCAGGGACGAGCTGGTCAAGGTGAGGCTGCCAGGCTGCCAGGCCCGGTGGGGCGGGGCGGGGTGGGGCGGGCACGGAAGGCCCTCCTGACGCCGGGGACCCCAGTTTGAGCAGGGTGCGTCCAACGCGGGCGTGGTGCAGTACAGCCACAACCAGATGCAGGAGCATGTGGACCTCCGCAGCCCCGGCATCAGGAACGCCCAGGACCTCAAAGAGTGAGCCCCGACCGTGGCCCCCGCAAGCCCGCCCTGACACTGAGCCTGCGGGCACCCAGCTCCCGCCGCCGGCCCTGCCCCGGCCCCGCTTGGCCGTCCCCCGGGCCTGGGTCCCACCCTGACCACCCCAGCCGTCCCCACCACTGAGCGCCATGGCCCCGCAGAGCCATCAAGAAGCTGCAGTGGATGGCCGGGGGCACCTTCACCGGCCAGGCCTTGCAGTACACCCGGGACCGGCTGCTGCCGCCCACCCAGAACCCCCGCATCGCCCTGGTCATCACTGACGGCCGCTCGGACACCCAGAGGGACAACACGCCCCTCAGCGTGCTCTGCGGCCCCAACATCCAGGTGGGCCCACGGCCAGGTCCCGCCCATCCGCCCCACCCCCGCCCCGCCCCACCCCCGCCCACCGCCAATACCGGCCCCCGCAGGTGGTGTCCGTGGGCATCAAGGACCTGTTCGGCTCCAGCGCCAGCTCTGACCAGCTCAACGTCATCTCCTGCCAAGGCCTGGCCACTCCAGGTCTACAAGGCATCTCGCTGGTGAAGGACAACTTTGCGGACCTGCTGGACGACAACTTTCTCAAGAACGTGACCACTCAGATCTGCAGAGGTGGGC